TTCACATCAGCTGTGAGATGGCCATGCATGGAGTCACAGATGAACAGCGATGGTGATGCATGGAAAAAACACCTGGTCTCCTTATATACACCTCCCTCAGCCACGCTTTCATCATCTCCTCATCCATCCAGCCCTTTTCATTCGCCTTAATAACGAATCCAGCTGAAAAAGTCTCTTTAGGAAAAGTCTTTCTCTTAAAAATCAACCTTAGGCGGCAGTTTCTGTACATTTGCGTGGCAGCCAATCCACGCCCACACTTCCCTCTTGAACGTTCTCATGGCGGTCTCAACAACGTCCGCCGTAAACAACACACATAGGGCACACCGCACTATAGGGCGCGCCGCACATTTTGAGGGAAAAAAAGACGTTTATATGCGCCTTATAGTCGTGAAAATACGGTACACCAGAATCCTGTTTGTGGACTTTAGCTAAGCTTTCAACACCATTAACTCAATCATCTTCCAACAGAAGCTCACCCAGCTTAGGGTGCTAGGATCAACTCTAGACATGAGACAGTGGATCATTAGTGTTCCTTCCTGACCAATAACAGCAAACAACTCTAGGAAAAGTCTTTTACTTAATAAGCAACAACACTCTGACTTTGGCTCTAAGGAAAACTGATGCAATCAGCTGGTTTTCCTTAGATAGAAAACTTTGAACCAATCTGACTGGATGATCTGGTTGGATTTTCTCTGTAAAGTACCTTCAGATGACTGGTTTTATGAACTGATGCTATATCAATAAACTAAATGGAATATATAAATGTAAAGTTTTAACCTGCTATTTTTCTTTAAAGGAGTGAATGCTGATAAAGTCTAAAATAAATGCAGTACCTCCTGCTCTCCACCAGACATCGCTGTGCCACTGCAACAATCAAGTGCCTCTTTGTAAAGGTGGCTGCCCCCCCCCACCCCCCAAAAGCACACCAAACACCCAAACCCTGCTTCACCCCGAGACAGCACACGGGTAATAAATTTGGCTAAATTAACCACTAAATGGTTATCTCAAGCAATATGTATTGGCATTAATCAGGAACCGCTCAAACAGAAACAGTCGGAGACGAGAAGCTAAGGCCTCTGAATTCATATCCCGCTCCCCAATTTAATTACTGACACAAATAGGCTTTCCGTGACAGAGAAGAAAGAGAGAGAAAGCGAGAGCTGATTTATATAAAAAGAAGGCCAGTAATTAAAAACTATTAGAATCTAATAGCATTGTTTAAGACGACATCCCCAGGGCTTCAGTAATTGACTTTCGTTGGACGGCTGGAGCTTAGTTTTTCTCTATTTGCCTATTCATAAGAGGGGAGAAGGGGAGAGAGACGGAGGGGAAAATAACTTGTCTGCATGTTAAGGTAGAAATAGTGAG